GAGGAACATTCCTCAGCAATGATTCCTTGTTCGGGATTCGGAGCTGGAGCCATAATCATAGGGGCCTTGATATATACCTATACTATTTTGGTGGTTCCCTATTATAACTATAGTATAATCTGCTCCTAAACCCATTCTGATTATTAAGGCCCCTAGATTCGCTTGCCAGAGGTCTTTGTGCGCGCTGTGCGCATGGCTCGAAGAGGAGCCATTGCCCCTTCTCCGGTCGCCTCTATGTTCTGATTTTCAGGGAAGGTCATGCACTTCTAATGCCTTTGAGGTCTTCCAAAAAGGAGCAGACATTGAAACCTACAGAGACCATGCACATGCGGACTTGACAGACGCCAGGGTAGGGATGTAGGTGTCGGAAGTTTAATCGTGATATAGTTGTCCCTCGTAGCCCCTATTCTAGTTATGCCGGAGCAGAACTCAAATCTTGCTGTTCATTAGTCATGCCCCTGTAGTGGGCTCCTACCCGTGAAGTATTAGCCTTCAGTTTCTCGCTCTCTCGAAGCCGAAAATTATGGATCCTCCTGAGCGTGTTGGGGTTTAGGATGGTGTATGCGTGTGTACGGTCTGCAACTGGTATAGTTGTACTTAGGGTTCAGGCTCATCCTTCTGCAGGACCTGGGAGACCTTCTGCGCCTGCTGGGTGCCTTGGGGGCGTCGCCGTTGGTGCTGCTGCTTCCTCCGTCGCTGGGTTCAATGGCCCGAAACCCCCACGCGAATTCAGTGAATGTTGGCGTTACTCTGCGAAGTCCCCGTGCCGCAAGTCACATGCATTGCAGTCTCGCTTGTGCCCATGAGGCTTTTCCACATCGAAATGGCACGAAGACAGGCAGAGCAGCCTCTCCTCAGTAGCAAGGAGCCTTTCCAGATGATTTGCACATGTTTATTGGTCAAGGAGATGCAATTTTCATGGAGTTGAAGTTCCAGCTTCCATGGCATGGGCATCTTCGAAGCCACGTGTCCATGCGATTGGTGAATGACCTGCTGCATTCCTACACTGACCCCCGAACTCGCCATCCTGGAACGTGCGAGATTAGCTGTGCGCAGTTCGGCCGCGATATCTTCAGCCTCGAGAATCTGAGCGCCATGTGCATCATGATTCTCGGCCGGGACCCCAGCAATCGCTTCCGAACGTCAAGCTAATTTGGGGAGCAGACTTTCCGTATTTGTGCGCTAGCGCCAAAGAAAGGCTAATAATTAATACACCGCTTGTCTGGTACAGCATGAGTTTTTTTGCTGCCATCTGTTCTGAGTCCCCAACGGGTATCACATTCATTTGAGCAGCTTGCGCCAGAACAAGAAGCGACACAAGGCGTGAACTGAATTTGTATATGTACAATACTGTAAGATTTGAAGCCTCCTACACCCACCTCCTCCATTTACATGGCTGGGATTGAGACGGTTGGAAAGTACGTCATAGTTGTCTAACATTTGCCATAGCTAGTTCACATTTGCTCCTTTCCTTGAGAAACCGCAACTTCAGGAATCTGTGTTTCCCTTTGGGAAGAAGCAGCAGTACGAAATACATACGAGCCCAAGCGGCCAGGGTTGGGATGACTGGTTTCCATTTCACACGTTGACCATTGTTTCAGGTTTGTTTAGAGTATCATCACCCAACCCACTTTGCAGTGGCCTGGGCTGTTGTATTTTCACCCGTGAATCATACTTCTTTGCTGATTGCCAAGGAGAGCCAGCAAGCACATGTCTTAACCCTAAACCTTGGGAAGTCGAGGCCATGGCTATGTTTGTTCTGATTGGACCCCGACTGAAAATGGGTTGAGTAGTACGGCTCTTGGGTGCTTGTTTTGGTTGTGGTCCATCTGTGGCTTCTGTCATGGAGACGTTTGAAACCTACTCTGCTCTGTTTGTTTCTGCTTATCTTCTACTTAGTACCCCTATGTCATAGCGATTTGTTTCGGCTTCTCTTCTACTGAGTATCCCGTGTTATTGCAACCCTTATTCGCGTACTCCCCCTTACGACTTTGGTGTAGAGAAGACTTCCAACTAGGTGTGGCGATCACTGGGGGCAGCCTCCTGGAGGTCATCACGTCTTCAATGAGGTGGGCTCGTAGAGTAGAAGCCAGAAAGTTGGAATATGATTATCCTAAACCCTTTATGGTAAATTATAGGGTATCCTACCATGAAACCATATTCCAACTTTCTGGAGTTCCCTTTATGTGGGCTTTCGGTGATAGAGAGGTTGAGGGTTTAGGGTCTACGGCTTCAGGGGTTGAGGCATCAGGGCTAGGGTTCGAGCGTCAATTCAGGGGTTCTGGGTTTAGGGATTAGGGACTGAAGCTTTGCGTTTAGCGGTTTCAGGTGTTTCGTGATGAGGGATTGAGGGCTTTAGGGTTCAGTCTTTCGGGTTTGCCCTACATCCTAAACACTAGTCGTCAAATCGGTACCTCCGTGAGGTTTAGGGCCTTGGGTTCACGGGTTTCGAGTTGAAAGCCGGGATATATCTGGGCCTCAACCTGAAGACAGCACCCAAGCTTTACACTCTAACCGTTGGCCTGCGAGACCCGGTGAATCCTCGCGACAAACTTCAAGCTTTCCAGGCACAAGTAATATAAGGGCCTCAATAATTACCTACACTATGTTGGGGGCGGGGTCCTTCTTATATTTATAGCATGTTGGGCCCCAAAAACCCTATTCTAATTGTTAAGGCCCCTATAGTATGCAGTTTGGGTTAAGGCCTTAAGGCTTTATGGTTAAAGGTGGGAAATCTACAGCGGTAGGGATTATTTTACTAGGGTGGCCTTAGCAATGAGATTATATCCGATAGGTTCTATGCATCGAAGTCTTGCATGGAGCTTTCATCTGGGCGGAATCTACAGGCGAGCCATGCATGGGCTTTCCCATTTTAGGTGTTAAACTGTCAGTGCACCACGCAATGCAAAAGCCCAATCACTTGTGAATTCGTAGGCCCCACGCTTCGTTTCTCCAGTCCTACCGCCCTACATAAGCTCAAACCTAAGCCGCAAAAGCCCTAAACCATAATCGCCTCAAGCCCGATATGATGAGCTGGGACATCAACACAGAGACTACCCTCAAACTCTGGACATTATTAGACCCTAAATTTCGCTTTCGAATCCTGTTGACAGCCCACCGGCTGGACACCGTGGCGAGAGAGCCGTCGTGTCCTCCTTGGCGCTGCTTGGTGGCCTTTAGGTTGGGCCTGGGGTCTAGGACTCAGGGTTTAGGGGCTTAGGATTTCGGGTAAGGCGCGGAGTTTCAGACCCTAGTTCATGCATGCCCAAGACTGTCGGAGTATACTGGCGAATGTATGTAGGTTTATACGCCCACGAGCATACGTAAAGGTACGCTCAGAGAGTGTGAGTCAGGAGTTTCATACAGCGATGCAGTGTACCGAATGGCACAACACATGTGGTGGCATATTCCGATACAACCTGGAGCAAGCACGTTTTAGCATGTGCTTCTAGTGTAACTTTTGCGCATTCATGAGAAAACGAATTGTGCACAACGTGTGACCTTTACTCAGCCGAGTTTTACACCGGGTCACGCACCGTTCTGGCTATGCGGACTGTCGCATATGTTCGCGATATATGTATCCTAGACCGTCGGATGATGTTCAGTCTTGCCGAAAAGCCTCGCAAAGCAAGAGCATCTATTGCTGCAACGTAGAACTCAATAGAAATGCTTTTTCTCGCTGCGCGTGAATCATCCGACACCACGGACGTTGGGTAGTAATTATCCTAGCACCGGATTCACGAGCATGTCATGTTTTTGGAAACCGCTGTGCCATATGAACTAGAATCACATCTGTCGATCTGTCTATATATTTGTCTGCCTGTCCATCCCTCGATGCGCTTGTATGTTCAAATCCGCATAATTCTGTAGTTCGATGCAGGGGTAGAGCCACTGTTAGGCTTTGTTGGGCTGGATACCTCAAGTCTCAGCGGTGCGGGGCTTCCGGTTTTAAGAGTTCAAGGCTTGAAGTTTAGGAGCTGGGATTTGGGGTCTAGGCCTCGGAGTTTAAGATACGGGGGTAGGGGTTTATAGGTTTTGGCAGGAAAAGTGTTAGGGTTTAGGGAGTTCGGTGCTGTTTTTGGGCCGCAGGGCCGGTGCCACAGAGCTTACACCCTTCAAATTGGGTTTTGAATTGCGACTGGACGGAGCCTCCATCTTTGTTTCGTCTGCCACCGGGATCGGAGATGTTTCCTCAGGCCGCCCAATGATTGCATCTCTCTATCTAGCGACCATATATCTCGAAATGCGCAGGCGCTGTTACATACACGCTGGTACACCTTGTGGTGCTCTCTCGAGTATATACGTTTCAAAGACGGAAGGGTGGATACTTTGACTTTCCCGTGCTTGCACCCTAACCCTAAGCCCTATACGTATTGTAAACCCTCAACCTTAAACCCTAAATCCCAAAAACCCTAAGCCTTAAGCCCTAAAACCCTAAGCCCTAAGCCCTAAAACCCTCAACCCGCAACCGTGCTTAGGAACATCACAACTCATCGCTGGCAGCGCTGAGTGCTCTACAGCTAGACCTGGAGCAGATTCCAAGCTGGAGGGTTTAGGGTGTGGGTTTAGGTCTAGAGTATAAGGCTTTGGGTTTAAAGTATAGGGTTTAGGGGTATAAGGCTTAGGATTAAAGAGGCTTTAGGGTAGAGTGCTGAAGGGTAGAGCTGGCTACATCGGCACCAACTTTACTAGCAAGGCATTTGGGGTCGCGAGTCAGATGTGGCACTTCTATGAAGCATGTTTTCAGGGTTGGAGACTCAGAGAACTTTTCGCGGGGCAAGGGATCGTTCTGAAAGTTGTCTCGGAGTTTGTTCTTCTCCCGCCTGTTCTTTGGAACTAGTTGCAGACGAAGCCTATCTTGTGCAGTGATGTCGCCGTAAGCTACAACACTCTCCATCTAAGCCAATGGTTGTTTCTGATTGAACTTCACTTCCAGTTGACAACGACATGCAGCCTTGTGTAATTAAGTGCTTCTTTTCCCATAGCACTGACATTGACACATGGCATACCTAGCTCGGTACAAGGGGCTGGAACAGGAAGGGCTCATAGTCGTAAGAATAATAAGAACGGCAAGAGCCAGAAGAATAGTAGTATCCCCAAGCCCCAAAACCTAACTCTAGCAGTAGGTTCGATGGTTGTGTGTGACCTGGATGCTCTCAAGCTAGGCTTAAGCACAGTTTCTGGACCTGCCCAGAACGACGTAGAAGACGTAGGTGCGCGGTGCGATGCCCAAAGTGGCACGAGGATCTCGTTTGAAAAGTACGTGATCTTGTAAACATCATCTCCGTCTAGGGTCTGCTGTGATCTAGACATGTTAGGCTCCGGGGCCAATACACTGGCACCGACTAGCTTTTGTTGTTGCGGCCGTCCAGGTGCTGGGAGAGGGGAGATGTGCATGAAGCCCTAGAGAGAGCGCCACTTCGAGGGCGGGGCGGTTGAGCTCCCGCAAAGAGCCGAACAATTCGATTGTGCTGATCCCCGGCCCGGAACTATGTTTCCCCTTCTGCCGAAGCCAGGCCCCCAACCCTACGTAAGCATAAGCTTGAAAACCCCAAAGCCCTCAATATCCCAAGACCCCCCAAAATCCCCGAAAGCATAAACTCCCTAAGCCGAGAAAATTCCCAGATCCCTAAACCCCAAACTCTCTAAACCCCAAACTCTCGATCTGCACAAGCCTGAAACCCCAAGTTTCCCTTACTTCCTTAGTAGCTGAGTGGATACACTTTACACTTTTTGGGACAATAGCACCCACTATAAAACTGAAAGTGTACACTCTTGGGGGGCTTATGAACTCAGCAACTTAGCTTCCCCAACCCTAAACCCTAAGCCCTGAAACCCGAAACCCTGAAGCCCGAAACCCCAAGTGTCCCTAAGCTTCAAAGATCCCGCAAATCGAGGCATGGACTGGGTGTCGGGCTTGGCCTGGCACAACAAGGACGGCACCTTCAAAGTGAGGCGTGGCAGCGCCCTCCTTGAGCGGCTTAGGGCTGTAGGGCTTAGGTGCTTGATATAGGGGCCTCAATAATTAGAATAGGGTTTTGGGGCCATTGTACTATAATCATAACAAGGCGCTTAGGGCTGTAGGGTTTAGGTCCTAAGTTTGGAGTTCGGGGGGTTAGGATATTATTTGGGCGGCACTCGAACCCCAAGATGGGTTTACCGTTGATACGGCCCGCAGACGCTAGATGCTGTCAGGGAGCGCAGACTTACGCCCCATCTGGAACGTGTATTTGCAACTTTGTGTTGGGCACGAAAACGGTTGCATCACTAAACGCAAACGATGTATGGGTCATGCTGCATTCTGCATACTGACCATATCCAGCCTCATGACCTGGGAACAATGCTATCCCAGCTCCACAACGAACCCTAAGACTCTAAGCCCTCTTATCCCACCTGCACAAAGAACCCAACAAATCTCAGCCCAATAGCACTCAGGAAGCCCTCGGTCCCTGCAGCCGAGACTCGGTGCAATAGTGCTCCTTGAACCAATCGAAACCCCAACAAGATCAAGGCTGATGTAGCAGCGGTAAGACTACCAGCGAGGCAGTGAGATCCATTACGAATAGAACCAGAAGAATCAGAACATGTGTAGAGTAATCAAGATAGGCATCTTCTACGTTTGGCAACAACGATGGCAGCAGCGTTGTTGACGTCAAACATTCGACAGCTCCGACAATCTAAACCCTAAACCCTAAGCCCTCAAACCCTAAACCCTTAACCCAAAAGCCCTAAACCCTAAGTCCCTCAAACCCTAAACCCCTTACCCAAAAGCCCTAAACCCTAAGTCCCTATACCCTAAACCGTGAATCGTAAGCAGGTTCGCGGATGGCGAGGAGCAGAGAGCCGTTCGCCGGCGGAGCCTTCGTGGGTGGGGGGCCGATGCTTCTTTTGCTTACCTTTGGTTAGTAGGGAATGGAAGAATGGTAGTAAGTTATATGGTAGTAATATGGTAGTAATATGATAGTAATATGGTAGTAATAGTAGTTATAATTGTATCCCATTCCTCCACTCCAGATACTAACCAAAGGTAAGTTTTGTCGAGACCAGGCTTTTAGCTGTTGCGGCTATTAGGCCCGAATCAGAGAACCAAGAATTCACCGCTTTGTCCGTCACAGCATGGGAGATTACGAGAATCATTTTGAGAGATCGGAAATGCCAGGCCGGGAATTGGCCTCCTCATCGAGAACGGACCCCGCTTCGTGGCTTCCTGCGCCACACTTCCGAGCTACTCCAGGTGCCCGTGAGTTCTTAGGAGTTTAGGGCTTCAGGGGTTTAGGGTGAGGTGGGAAGTGAGGACGACGAAGGATTTCAAGGTATTGGTCAGTCTTGACAACGCTCTTGCAGACTTCGATGTCGGCCGGCTGAGCCAGGTTCATGACACTTGCCTATGAATCCAGACTTAGCGTCTCATGTCCTAAACCCCGAAACAGTAAAGCCCCGAATCCGCAGACATGCCAGGGGCCGCTGCATTGTCGGGGATCGTTCCCAGATGCAGGACAACTCGCCCATGTCTCAGGTGGATGGTTGATATTATGATGCTGGCAAAGCAACATGGACCCAACGATCTGCCCCGCATGCACATCAGGAAAGTCATTGCAACAGAACTAGGGTCGTGGAACTTTGATACGAGCTCCGAAAGATTTTCACCCCATGGTTTCTGGGGATGTTTCTCAACAGCTGTGCTGAGGTTTTACAACAGCGGTGTGGGCAGCGTCGAATGGGCTCGGAACCCAACGGCTGACCGCTCTTTCTATACGTCCAATACCGGAAACATATGGCCCAACAGAGGGGGTGGCCCCTCACCCACTAGCAGTGACCGCACAGAATGATTGTGGTAGTTGCTTAAGTTCTTCCAGCAGCTCATTAGACCACCATGAGTGCTCGCGGGCTTACCCCAATCTAACTTCCACAAGACAAAGTACCCTCTTATGGTCCGAATAGCTGTGTCCGAATATTATACTACCCAGAGGCCCCAAAGTAGTTCCTTTTTGGAATTACCTTATAGGATTCTATATACGAACCCCAAAAAGGAACTACCTTGGGGCCTTTGGGTAGAATAGTCTATAACATGCACCCGCATCTCCAGACTGATTATTACGACCCTCCTGCTTTTCTGGCCCATCCCGACTCCGCAGCCGCATTGTGCCGCACATATACAAGCTCTATAGAGAGGTGATATCCGCCACTGTGTGCAGAACCGTTTCTTGCACACTTTTGGTTTACCGTCGGATTCAGTATGTGGATTCAAAGCTCCGGGCTTGGCATCTGCGTGAACCCTCAGCGTCTAAAGCGCAAGGTGATGAAGAGATGGTACCCCAATGCTGTCAGGATTGCGTCGGTGCCCCAACTTCGCCGTGCTTCATCCTTTGTTGAGGGTGCCAATTCGAGACTTTGGGGGACTTAACTCAAAGCCACTACAGCGCCGGAGGTGAGGGTGAGACATCCGGTTCAGCATGGTTCAGCATTTTGTTGCATAACAAATATAGTCCCAAACCCCTGGAGATCATGCAGCAACTCCGCCGAACCTTGAAGCCTTCCTTAGCCGCCATTCAACCCGGAGCAAAGCCTAAACAACAAACCCTAAATGCCTTATAAGCTAGAAAACCACGCGAAAGTTCGAGCAACTGGTCACCGAGGAGTCCGTGGCTTCATCGCCGCCATCCCGGCATCGAAAGGGAGGCCCTCAAGGACTAAAGGTACCTTATTTTGGGGTCCTTATAATGAGGATCCTACTATTTAGGGTACCATATTAGGGTCCCCTATTTTCGGAAACTCCCATATTAACATGTATCTTGATCTCAAGGCCCTCCAGGAAAGTGTGTATGAATCACCGACCGTTGCTGCAAAGGTACTGTTAGGGTTTGCTGGCGTATACTGTTTTACTTTCGGGCCCATTTGGAAGCGTGGCTCAGAGCCGGAGATGTGGGACTTTCTTGAGGTTTGGCATCTACTGGTGGGGTTTGATGGTCTTGGGTTTAGGCTTCGCTTGGGAATCATCTGTGTTAAGGAAGGTTTAGCGATGCATAGGGTATCACGGCTGCAGGTTCAGGGAGTTGGGATTAGGGTTAAGGTTACGGGTGTTGCTGTTGCCGTGAAGAGTGTAGGGCTTGGTTTAGATTTGTAAGATCAGCACAGCGGGTCTGTCATGCTGACATCCATGATGTAGCCAATCCAAAAGGAGATCCAAACATGCTCCAAGCATGCAAACCACAAGCGCCTTGAAACAAAGTGCTGGATACTAGGATAGGGCGGCAAAACAAATTGCGAGAGTTTCTGGTGAACTCGCTTGTGTCGTGGATGTGTGCCAGCCAACAGACTGTGTCGTTACGATCCCGAAATTCGACGTGCCCAACAGTTATCCCTCCGGCGTCCCGCCCTGCATTAGCTAGTACCCAGCCATGAAACTTGATAGATGCTGATGAAATAAAGTCTGGCCAACCGGATTCCCTTCTACATGTGACTTGCGCAAGCTTCCCGGCAGCCGTTCTTCGAGTAGCTAGTTGACCATGCCGCTCGGCCACGACCATCCCAACCCCTGTTTCAAAGCCTGGCAGTGATGATGCTGCATTAAGGGTGTAGTCGCAGGCTTGGGTCTACATCCCGGAGGAGTCGCGCAAGAACGGCATGGGGCTCGACACGTTTGGGGCAGAATCGTTGGGCTGCATTGCCTTGCCAAATCTCAGGAGAGCAGGCTCTTGAACAGCATTCCGTGTAGGAGGAGTCACGCGCATTCTTCATGTACTGTAGACGCCTTGTCTGGCATCGTCTGGAATGCTGAGGCGGAAAGGCGGGCACAGGCGTGCAAGTGAATGCATTCAGTGGTCATGACCAGGCATAGAGCTGTTTCTCCCTGAATGCAGGATACTTCGGCAGATTGATTGCGCTTTTGTCGTCGCTAATGACAGAAAGACACCCTAACACCCTTGTCCACAAGATTGGGCTCACTTGCCTTACTTCTGCCGGCCCTTGCAGCTTTCGCCGGTTCGTCGCAGAGGGAACGGGGGTGGTGCTTAGTGTGGAAGCACTAACTGTTTAACTGAGTTTCACGACTGAGGATGTTTACCTATACCTGTAGTCCAAAAACCAGAAGGCAATCATTTAAAGGGCTTCTTATTGTGGTTCGGTATGGGAGTTTCCGAAAATAGGGGACCCTAATATACTACCCTAAATAGTAGGATCCTTATTACAAGGATCCCCAAATAAGGTACCCCTATTTTCGGAAACTCCCGTATATCAGTCCTTGAAGAAGGTTGCCTATAGCCACCAGAGTGGCGAGCCGCTTCTGCACTTTGCAGGCAAGGTGAACTTGCAGCTCCGCATTCAGAAGGCTCTCGAGATCCTGGAGAAGCAGGTGCGCTTAGTAGCAGTCAATTATCGTAGAAATAGTAGTCGTAATAGTAACAACGATGAAGATTTGAACAACCAGGAATAATGATAACAAAGCAAATGTAAACGTAATAGTAATAGCAGCAGTAGAAGCACAATTGCGAAGTCTTGTCGCTGTTCCTAGGTTGGGACCAAAACTTAGCTGATGAGCATCAAACATGCCATGGTGTAGACTTGACATGCTGGCAGGGTCCGGAGGTGCGGACCATCGTCTTTGCGAATACACCAGAGGCGCTTCGTGGAGAACATCTAGACTTTGTAAGCCATCGATGTCTTCTCTCGCATGAGTGTGATGCTGCGGATCGACCGGACCCTAACTTTGCCGTCCTTGAAGAGGCTTGCCTTGCTTTTGAGGTGGTGGTCAGCTCAGTTCCTTCATCCTGCGGCAGTCCATGAGCAGAATATTGCTGAGCGATTCTGCTTGTGCACAAGTCCCGAAGCTTCCATGTTATGCAATCCTGAATTCCGAACCCTTGAACCCTGAAAAGGTCTAGGGCTTAGGCCTCAAGTCCTAAGCAAAGCTCTGTGTGGAAGCTACGATAAGCACTGCCCTCTCCATGTGGCACATGCTAAGGCCTGCAAGTCGGCAAGCATGGATGTTGCCTGTGTGCATGCAGGCAGGATATGGGGGTTTCCGAAAATAGGGGACCCTAAGATAGTACCCTAAATAGTAGGATCCTTATTATAAGGACCCCAAAATAAGGTACCCCTATTTTCGGAAACTCCCATATCAGAGCTAAGGGCTCCGGGTCGGGATTCAGGGAACTTAGGGCTCAGGCTTACAATCGTCACTGTTGCTGACGTGATGCTTACCTTGACCACTTGGTATATTTCTTCACGTTTTCGCCGCATTGCCACGACCACGGATGCAACGAAGTTCAGCAGTTTGGCATAAGTGCCCTTTGTGCCCGGTGGCATGTGGCATGCTTGCGTCGTCGACACTGACGTGGCATCCCAAATCCCTTATATCTCCTAAACCCTAGTGATGCAGGCGTGCCCTTTCCAGAGCGCATTGATGGCCTGAAGAAGTTCGGCGCGGGTGAGGCGGGAGCTGTAGGTTGCGAAGACGAAGGAGCCCTGAGCAAGCGGCCCGTTTCTACCGTCCTTGGCAAGCTCTTCTTTTGAGTTGAGGATTTCAATGCATAACCAAGCTGTTGTTTTCGGTTTTAGTGTTCACGGTTCAGGTTTTATACATTTGAACCAGGGAACTCAGCAACATGGAATGGTATCCCTTCCCCACACAATGATAATTGATAGATCCTGCCCTCTCGCCTGCTCAGGCACCAATTGCCAAGCTATGGATTTCTGAAGCCTAAAACCGAACCCCAAATTCATCAGATTCGTGTGTGAGACTTTTGACGCACTTGACAAGGCTCGGCGCCCTTTGAAGTAAGCTCTAAGGCTCTTTTTGTTTATGCTCATCCGACACGATCTCAATCATGGGTTCAATCAGACGCAGAGGAATAGACACGGCAAAAAGCCAATATGATATTGTCTAGAGCCATTCGGGAGTCCTTTTTACGAAACGAGCCCAGTCCCGCTTGTCCTCTGCCACTCTGTTTTTGTGAGGTGAGCGTGCTGATCTGCACAGACCTCGGGGCGCCCTGGCCCTGGCTGATTGCTAAGCCGCGAGAAACCGGGATATACTCGTCGGGTATCATGGGGAAATAAAGGTTAACCTGTTAACCCTTTTTGGTTATATACATGGGGATTATAAAGGGACTATACTATAGTGCTTGGGTTTTTGAAGTTCTTAGGACTTTTTCAGATTAAGCAGTTGGGAAATGAGCAGGTTAGATAGCAGAACTCTCAAAAGTTTAAATCCCCAAACCCTGAAAGCGTGCAGCCCCAAAACTCTAAACAGTCGTCCTCAACTAGGCCCCGCAATAACAACGAACCTAGTTGGAGGGCAGGGGACTTAGTAAGTAGGTTCTAAGTAGAGTCATAAGTACCTTAAATGGAGTTACCCCAATGATAACCCTAGTTATAAACGACTTGCTAAGTCCCCTGCCCCTCCAAGCAAGCCCCGAACCCCTAAACCCTCAAGCCAAGAAGTTGAAGTTGTATGTTGAGCGATCTTGCTGGCAGAGCTATTAGCCGCTCGTTTCAAGGAAGAGCATGCGGTTTGAGTAAACTGAAGCAAATTTCAAATCCGTTCGAAAGGCTTGTCGCCAAAATACTTGCATGTGTCGAAAGGCTTTCAGCAATATGGCAGGGCGAGCCGCAGCAGGGGTGGTGAACTTCGCAACAGCAAGGGCACCGAGGTAGGGCCGGATCGGGCAAAAGTACCCGCCAAAATCCGCTCGAAACTCGGAACCCCCAACCTACCTTTAAGCTACCAAAACCCTCTTTCCGTAGGTTATGGTAGCTTCAGGTATACAAAAACCCCAAAATTTGGTAGCTTAAGGTATACAAAAACCCCTGGAGCCCCCTAAAATATCAATTCTCGGAGCTTGGAGCCCAAGGCGAGGACTGGACCTGCCGATCTGCCAGCACGTCGTGCAGCTGGAGCCGGGGGCCTGGGTTTAGGGCTTTAGGGGGTTTGGGGGTTTAGGGCTTAGGGGTTTAGGGTTCAGGGCGTGGGGGGTTTGGGGTTTAGGGCTTAGGGGGTTTGGGGTTTGGGTTATAGGGGCCGAAAATAACTACCACTACTATTTTCGGGGTTCCTTATTAAAGGTATAGTATAGTACAATGGGCCCCAAAACCCTATTCTAATTAATCAGGCCTAGGATAGGATAACATGGGGGGCCTTCATGGCTAACATAGCGTGCTATAGGCTTCCATAGGGTCCAAAACATAAGATAATCGGGACCTTAGAAACTAGAACAGAGTTTTACGCGCGTCTACATAAGGTTTAGGGACATACTTAAAATAGGCGTTTAGTGCATATTGTGGTACGACTACAAGGGTATACATTCCTGCCCAGGCTTTCGGGTCTAAGTGGCTTGTGCGTGTGAGAGAGGCAGGGAGAGGTTTTGGTCGTCCATTCGTGCGCGGTAGTGTAGGGCCTATCTCTTAATTAAGGAATATTCCTCAAATCATATTAGGGATCCTACCATAATTTAAGCTAATTATGGGGTATTAGAGAACATGGCCTTGGTTTAGGAACATGGGATGTCGGACTCTTGGATTTGTCGGGCTTTGGGCTTGGAGTTCACGCGCAGAAGCAGAGACATGTCTGTTTAAAGGAGCTCGAACAGGTGGGTCAGTTAAACTCAAGGCCGCAGGTCAAGCTCGTCAATAGGCGGGCCAGAATGTCATTCCCTAGGGTTCCTGATTACAGCATATTACAGCCAATGTACCCAAAACCCTAGTCTAATTGTTAAGGTCCCTGTACTACATGTTAGATAGAGCTTAGGGCTTTAGGTTAAGGATAGGGGCTATACCGGCAGTTTCAAGGTCGGGCCGGGGTCCTGTGTCAGTAGGATCCTTTAGTTTAGACATCTCATTTCCCTGAAAGAAATCCGCTCCCCTGATGGGATATGATGCTCAAGCCACGGTCACCGGCAGTCACTTTGCAATCACATTCCTGTCGCAAGCGGTTCGTGCCTTGCTGGCTGTGCCATTGTACTCATCACTTCTCGTTGCGACCAGGTTTGCAAACAACACCATCTGCTACCTCCACCGGGTGGGCCGAGCGCGGGTCCCGGAGCAGCTAAATTCACGTCACAGGTCTTGCGACTCGACGAAACAGACTCTCACCTTGGCATGTTGCCACAGCAATCAAAAATCAAAGTACCAGCGAGTGGAGATTGACAGTACTAATGGTGCAGAGTTGTCAGTCACGCATGGTGGCCAGTCATCAGAGCGGTAATCGGCAATGAGCCAGTGCTTGCGTTCGCCCCCAACCTTTTCGCGCTGGGGCTCAGGCTACTCGTGCCGCTAACAAGTCGCAGGCTCCTGCGCTGCATGCTAGTGTTTGGGTCCGGCATTAAAAAATCATAACAATAATAATAATAATAATAATAATAATAATAATAATAATGATAGTAGTAGTATTGATAGTAATAATAATCATAATAAAAGACATAATACCAATACCAATAATAGCAATAAAACTAGTAAGTTGAGAGAGGTTCGTCCAGGAAAGGGTTGCAGCAACTGTTTGTTGCTACAGTCTCCAAGACTTGAGCTATGTCAGAAACGTCTCAACTTTTGAGGTGTACACGACTGCGTGCAGCCGCACATCTGAGCCTGTCTTTTGCATCAAAATGCCGGCTCGAAGATTTCCAGTCGGCTTTCGTGTCCTCAGAATGGCAAGCAGGCTGATGATGGTCATGGTGGTGGCAATAACGGTGATGGTGATAGTGGTGGTGATGATGGTGATCATCATCATCAACATCATCATCATCTCGTTGGGTTTGGCAGCACGGAGAAAGAGAAGGCTTATTGACGTGTACGCCTTGTTCCAACTATAGTTATGTTTAGGTTGTGTGTGTGCATTTTCCTTAC